AAGGCATACCCAAAAGAATACTAACATTGGTGAACATGCAGCCAAAATCTTGCACCACATATCCTTTTCACTGAAATTTCTTATCATGCTGTATCTTCTAAAAAAATATTTTGCAACACACCTAGTCTGCAAACAGAACTTACCGATCTAATATATGGCTGCTGAAACACCCAACCAAGAATGGGTATCTTTTGAAGAAAAACTGCCAGTGTCGGCCAAAACCCACTGCAAGAGGTACCTTATGAGAAACCAATAACTGCTAATAAGATCAAATTACCATTAAAGGCCAGAGGCAGTCCAACAAACCTGAAGAGCACAACGAACCCATAAGCCTCCAAGATGATTCCTAATATTGGCCAGCCTATGATAACCAAGAAAAATCCAGCACCAAATGATATTGTTCCCTATTGAATAACCAAATACAAACTCAACCAGTAAGAAATAATACACAAGTTGAGAAACCTAACACAGACAGGAAAGTACTTCAAACCTTATAATTGGCACGCTTCGTGAAGAATTGCATAGATGACTTCAACCCAATGGTCAATGTAACCCCAGAAAAGAAAAGGATCTGATTCAAGGTGATAAGAAATGTTTTAAGCAAAATGGCAAAGACTATGAAAGAGGCACAAAGCAAGGAAAATACGGTAAACAACTATTTTACTTACATTTCCCATTGCAATTAGCCCCTTGTCAAAGAAGAAAATGACCCCCAGGAATGAGAAGAAAACCCCAAATCCCGTCAATCCCAGGCCAATCTCTGTTTCAGAACAGCAACACAAGTTTTTAAAACCGCAAAGGTGCAACAAAGTATCTAAAATGCATCTTGACAAGTAATTAAGAAGCTCAGTTGCAATACCAAGAATGAAAGTCAGACCTTCACAAAAAGAGAATAATAACCAAACATTTACACAGCCAGCTCATCATGGCCCTTATTGGTGGTGTATATATTTGACGATGGGAAAGTGAAGCACACTGCAACACCCCCCCCCCCCCCCCAAAAAAAAAAAAACAAAAACAAAAACCCAAAAACACACACACACAACGACCTGCCCCTTCGCATTGTAGCTCATTAGCCTTAATGAGTTCAAGCTCTTAGAAGTTGCACTTACAATTGAACCCACTAAAATTCTTGATTAAAGTCCCTTCCACCCTTCACTGAATTAAAAGTGCCAGATCAAGTTTTTAAATAATATATATTAGGCAAAGCATGCAAAAGAAATGCTATACTTGGACAAAACTAGTAAAGTCTTCAAGCCTGAAGTCACCAATTGTACAGGTATACTCTGAAATCTAATTGTTCCTTCAAAGGTAAGCGAACAGGAAGATAAATAACTTTCCCAATAGCTTTGTAGTCTAAACTATTCCAGTCAAACATTTACATTAACACAAGCTTTTTCTCACTTGCAAAGCTTCCCTTATTCATCCACTTACCCTCTCGTTTTTTCACTATATTTTCTTTCATGAACATATTCGAACTCTATCTATATTTTCTTTCAGCTTATAAATTTATCCAAGAACATGAAAGGTACTAGACCAGTTGAAGTAAGTTCTTATCAACAAAATGCTACTTTCTCATATTTGTATCAAGTTTGCAAGTTGTATTAATGAACTGAAGTATGCTTGATTTCTGAAGTTATTAAGCAGTAAAGCTACAAACATACAACTTCAGCATAATATCACTTTAGAAGCCATAGATTAAACATCTAAAGGAAGTGTGCATTTGTGTGAGAGTGTTTGTGAGTGCATGACTCTACTAACCAAAAAGCACAGCACTTTAACTGATAGTTCACTAAACCCTCCATAAAACATGATTGTACGATTAACTGAAACTACTATGAGTTTTCTCTTCAAAATTACTTCACAGATCGTTGATGACCTTTGTACAATTAATCAAATCATCTCTTCACTGTCAAACAAAAGGAAGAAAATGCTTGTCCAGAATCAGCTGCAAATCAATTTGTGATCCAAAATTTGCTTGTCCTCATACAGATTTGGCAATGTCACAGCACTACTAAAACTAGCCATGTAGAGAAAATCAATCCGCTGAATTGACTGCATATACCATGTATTCATAAAACGCTACTGTTAGCAGATATTCAGCCTCAATACTCCTTTAGGCTTCAACTGCCCATAAACCTAGCATCCCAAGCTTCAACCTTTGTACATATACCATCGAACTCATCCCAGGTATCCACCCGAAGTACTAAAGCTAGCATCTTTCAAGGAAATAATCACTATTCCAACATTTCATTAAACTTACACTGCCCATAAATTTGAGATTGACTTCAAGCTTCCTCTACACCATGTCAAGTCAATCACAATTTCAGATTTTTGTACCCGACATATTACCTATTTCACTTTCATGAAGTTGAAAACTAGAAATAGTAGCTCAAACAATCAACAAAGAAGAAGAAGAAGAAGAAGAGAAGGCACCCGCTATCAAATTTTCGTATCCAAACTTGCTAAATATACCGATTAACAGACCAATTGGATATGGATAACCTAAATACAGCATTTGCAACTAAAATCCACATAAATCCTAAACCACCAGATATCAATTTCGTCTCGTGCCACTAAACCAGAGCACAAATCATTCAATTAAATGCAAAAGAATAACAAAATATCGTTCATCTAAAAAAAACTCACTTTTAATATCGTTCATCTCAAAGGACACCATTTTTCCGATTGAAATACAAAAGCCGATATGGATTCAACGAAAACTGCTGACCAAATCCAAGTGAAAATGAAACCTGCGAAGACAATAACCACAACAATAATCAAATTAAACCAAAAACTCTCGAATTTAAGTAACTCAATTAGAACAAGAATCCAAATGAAACGAATAAAAAAGAAATAATCAAGTAATTAGAAAGTGATCTAGGGTTTTGGGATCGTAAAAGATATCTTTCTTTCTGTCTACCTTCTTTTCCTTTTCTCTTTTTCTCCTCCGAATCTGCACCAAATTAACTGAGTCTATCTACTGCGTGTGTGTGTGAGAGAGAGAGAAGCAAAAGTGGAGCTATGGAAGTTATAGCATAGGATTGTAGCTGAGATGGGAATGGTATGGGCTACTCTGTTAGTCTAGTCTTCTTCTTTGAAGGGAAGCAACGGCGGTTTTTCATTTGCTTGATGACGTTGTTTTACTATTAGTTTTGGCAATGGAACAAAATAAATTATTTGCTAATACTATTCAGATCTTAATATATTCAATAACAAAAAATTGAATATGTGAATTAATTAGGTGCGGTGCCACTGAATTTTTTAGGTAAAATTTGCTTCCAAGACTAAGTAATAAACTATTCATTTATCATTGAATGTATGTGATATGCACTCAAATGTATTAGATTTAATACTTAACAATTCAATAATTTAATGGATTGAAACTTCAGATTTCAGATTTCAGACTTCAGTTTCATCAAACGCACCCAAGTTTTATTTGTAAAAATTAATTTATTAAAAGTAAGTTTGTATTTTTGATAAAAGATTTGCATTTTATAGGTTAAATGCTGATTTATGTCTAGTTGTCTGTTATATGTTTCTTGTACTAAATAGGTAGTTATATACAGTTGTCAGAGCCGTAACAGATAACTAATGCATTTTTTTGTTTTTTTTTTTGGGATAAAAGATGTTATCAATTGCCATTTTATGTGACTGTTTAGTTATTTCTAGTTTCCAATGATTCAATTGGATATGTTCCTTTCCCATAAAATTACGAATAGGTGTAGATCGTTGACGTTTTGACAAAATAAAATAAAATATAATATAATAAAAGATGTCATGGCTTTTGGTGCCCTAGTTGGGGATAAAAGATGACAAAATAAAAACTCACTGAATTTTTTAACATCAAAAACCATAGTAGATGCCAAGTACTATATAGTACTAGTTACTTCGTCGACACACATCCTATAGCAAATTTAAGCTAGCAAGAAATCAGATGATATGGGAAGACAGAGCGTTTGAACCTCTGCAAAATTTGCAAGCAGTGCATTGTTCAATTTCAGGTCAAGCTTCCTTTCGAAAGGAATTGTTTTGATCTCCGAGTTAGGAGCTCTTCAACTCAGTGGCATAATTCCTAGAGAAATATGTGGTTTTTTTCCCTTCAAGAATCAGCTGATATCCAAAATTACACGGTTGCTTGTAATGGAGATGGTTTAGTTGATGGATCGTTCTCAATCCATGACTGTTCAGCAGGCATTGGATGGGTGTTTCAAGATCCACTTCATAATACAGTCCATAAAGGCATAAACAAAGCAAGAAGGTATATTCGTCATCTCCAATTTGCACCGAAGCTCTGACTTGTTTGGTGGGACAACAAAAAAAGTGGTTAAGTAAGATTTTGGTAAGTTATTTACATCTTAAAAAATTTTGCAGGACGAATTTAAGGAAATCAAGCAATGTATTCAAGAAATATTTTAATACATGATATAATACAAGTTGTACTAAAAATTAAAATAACCTTTTTTATACGTGTGGTTTGCATGTAAAGCCTTTTTATATTAAAAAAAATTTATAAATAAGCTAGTATTAAAACAATTAATCAAAAAATAAAGACACGATAAAATATATAAAAATTGCCTATGTTTTTTTTTTTTGTGAAAACAACATGGGCAATTTCTAAACATTTTTAACATTACTTTTTAGCTTTATTTTAATTTTCATCATTGATATAAGTTTTAAAAATAGGATAACATAAGAATAGTATTGAAAATCAAATTTTCTCTCTTGCTTTTCTTCAAAGGGATAAAATGTTACAAAAATTGTCAATCTAAGGGAGATAAGTGAGATTTTTAAAACTATAGAGATGTTAAGTGATATTATAAGAAACCTCAAGGGGGGTTTCTGAAATTATCCCAAAAACTCTATACTGCCATCTTGCTCCTCTCGTTCTAGCTGGCCCAGAAGGAGAAAAAATCAAGCAACTTTTTGACTTCCAGCAGAGGAGAGATAAGCAATTGAGAATTTCATCTAAGGTAGATATCTATTAACTAATTAGTTCAATTCATTCCTTTCTTTAATTTTTAGTATTACTAGAGTATTGCAGGCAAATAATTTGCACTCAGTTTTGGGTTTTTTAGGGTTCTTCCTGTTTGAAATTTTGGTATCCAATGAGTGTAAATTGATCCTTGAGAGATCCCCGACCGTCATTTTTTTACTTGGTTTATGGATGTTATGAAACTAAGTTGTTTCTTGAACTTTGTCTATCTGAAATTTGGCTAAATTATAGAGATTTGACTGTAATTTCTGATTGAGAATTTTGTTTGAACTTTCACCTCTGTTGAGTCTTTGCTTTATCTCTTATTCAATGTCGAAAAGGCACTTGCTTTTTTCATCTGTTACGGCTTCCAATTGTAGTGGTTTTGGTCATCTTTTGTTGTATATAAAAATTCTTGAATTCCATGACAGCTGCATTTCTGGCTTTCGAGTTGTCGAAATGATGAATGATGTATTTTGATTGGTCGGTGGGATATAGCACTGAAATTTCTGCACTGCATTTGTTCGGTTATGCATCATAGAATTTTCAAATTGTTTCACAATTTACTGCAACTTGTTGATTCAATAGTGCTGACATTGCAGTTTAAGTCTTCCTTTGTTTTGAATCGTTTGAGTTTCTTAATCAGAACTTCTTTGTGGTTCTGGTTATTTATATAAGGGTGTGAATCCAAATGGTTATTGGTATGGGATTTGGATATTTGCTTTGCCATTGTTGTGCTTACTACTTGTTAATTACTATTTTTTGTTAGCATAAGCATAGAAATTTAGTGATTGCACCAGGTAGTGCACCAGGTAGTGACTGATTACCCCGAACATAAATGAAGAAATTTATATCTGCTGTTTGTATTCATCATGTGTGCTTCAATCATGCGTACTGTTTGTACTTTTATGCCCCAGTACACCTTGCACCTCTGACAACGGTGAGGATCTGTTTTTCACCTCAGCTGTTGTCGGTTAATTTGGTCAGCATCTGTATGTCGTATGCGATATATTCTCTGGACATAATTCTTAAAATGAAATTCACTTCCTCTGTTTAGGTTGACATCCCTCTGTCACTGTTTTCTCCACCTTCTTAAATCTTTGGTTCTCACATGATGCTAGCCTTCATCATTATGATTTTCTAGGATAAGATGATAGTGTTAGAAACGCTTGACAACTTAAACTTCTGCTTTCAGATTTCTTGAAACTACTCATGCTTTATTTTCTTGCACCTTTGGCTGCTTTTACTGTTAGGATATTGCAGCATACTTTGTTTTGACAAAAATGTTATTTAGACAAAGATAGTGTGTACCATGAAGTTGTGAATTGATTCTTGCAGTAAGAATGCTATCAAAATGTGGTTGTACATATTCAGGTAATCTGGAGTTGAACCTCAATTTTTATAGTTCTGTCGAGAAGAAAATTAAATACTGAATTAGTTTTGTTTTATATGCAGCTGAATTCTTTTCTTTAATTTCCAAAGGGTGGGCATCTGGGTTGCAGGGTTGTGGGTACCGAAATCTTCTTTATCTTTTCTTTTTTGGCATAAATTGATAATACTGATTTGTTTTTTTAATTATTGTTGTTTATTATCTAAATTCATAAATTGTTTGCTTTAGTGCGGTTGGCTTTCAGCATTAGAAGTCCTAGTGCTTGTGTTGGTGCTGTCAGATTGGAATTTCTGGACGCTAGTGGGAGAACTATCCAGGTAATGGAATTATTTTTCCTGGATTCTTAAGCAAAATGCTTCTAATTTGGCTTTGAAGTTTGAACATGATGACAGGGCACAAAAATTAGCTTTCCCTTTGATGGATAATGTTGTTTTGGTGCTTGTTATCTGCTGTTGTGTTATAATTAAAAATTTGCGTGGGTTTTGCTCTCTTGTTTGAGTTGATTCTTTTTGTGCAAAGTTCATGCTTTTACTGGGGGAAGTAATCCTTCAAAATTTGGAGATCATAGTTCTAATTCAAGTTTATGGTTCCCTGTCAACCAAACTGACAAGATTCAATCTGCCAAAATTTTCAAATTCTGAACAGAATCTGGCTTGTATTGAGTCATAATATAAACCAGCTACACTGGTAAACAATAAAAAATATAATCCCTATGTCTAAATGTCAGTCATGAACAAGTAACTACTTGAAGCACCCGCACCCATGCTCTGTTGTGAAGAATGTTTGCCTATATTTTTATGGCTATCTAAATTGTCAGTCATAGTAATTAAGTGCTGAAACCCCAATCCCTACACTGTGAAGAATTTATCATTTGAATGGTTGATATTTCATTATCAAAGGTTTCGACTTCTAGATCAACCAATTGGACAGGTCCCTCCAAGCGATACTGATAGAAGCATTCTTCCATGGCTGTATGTGAAGTAGGAAACAAGATTGAAAATCTTGATGTTTCACAAACCGGGAAGGAAAATGCATCAGTTCAGATAAAGGTTTTGTTTTTCGCCAGGGCCAGAGATCTGACTGGCTTAAGTGACATGCAATTTGAAGTTTCATCTGGTAGTAGTGCCTCTGATTGCTTAGATAAAGTCATTGCCAAATTCCCTGGTTTAAAAGAGATCCGAGGATGTATGGTCCTGGCTCTCAATGAAGAGTACATTGAAGAGTCTGTTATTGTCAAAGATAGAGATGAATTGGCCATCATTCCTCCCATAAGCGGTGGGTAAGTATTCTAGTACAGCCGTTATGTTTGCAAGTGTCTAAATAAATGTTGAATAACAGCCATTCCGTGTAACCCTATGTTGAGTAAAGTCCAGAATGATATTTCAATGTTTTTGTGTAATTTGAGATAATTCAATAATTGGATCTGTAGATTTTTATGGAAATTGTCTCACAACAGTCCTTTATGGTCATTTTCCATTACTTATCAGATGGGGGGCCTTTTGACTAGCAATTTTACTGCATAGCTTTTTCCCCCTCTTAAATTTGGTAAAGTTGGACCAAATTTGTCTATAAGGAGGTGACATCTTATTGTACAATATGCATTTGGCTACTTTTAGTAATTCAGAGATAAAATGACAAGAATTCTTCCACCTTGCTTGTGTATTTGGTTTTAGAAACTTCTGAGATTTGGTGGTCTTTCTTTAGTTACTTTTCATGTCCAAATAGAAAGAAAAACTCAAATCACTTCTATCAGTTCCTTTCTGGATTTTCAACAATTGAATACCCTTCTTTCTTGCTCAAGTACAATCTGAAATCACTTAGGACATGACCAAGTTTTAGTTTAACATTTATCTGTCATCGTTTTGTTCGTTACTTATGGTTGCAAGGCTAGGTTTTGGTGTTGATAGCAAATGTGCCTTGGCAATTTGGGATTGTGGGATTTTGGGCCGAGGTGATGTCGCCCGCCTTGACCCAAGTCATCGATTTTGTTCTTTTTTTTTTCTTTTGGTATAAAGATCATGGATATATAAAGAAAGTAATCCAGTGATGGATTCTTAAAAATGAAAATGTATTTAAACCTGTTGGAAGTTGATATTGCCTCTGTAGATGATACTGAGAAATATGTGGAAATGCTACCTATTTTTGTCGATAGTAATGTGTTAACATTGAAGAAATAGTTAACTCTTCTCTAAGCAAAAAAGATTGAACAGTGAAGAAATAGTTTTTTTTACTTCAAAATTTCTATGAAAGGAATATGTGAAATTTTTTTTCTTTTTTTTTTTTAACACAACACAAACATCGTTTCCATTAGTTCATATTACAACTGGAAAAGTCATTACATTCGAAGTCATTCCCTCTAGCTAAATTAGGTAATTCATGAGCTCTCATTATCAGATTCCTTTCTACTTTGACAAAAATGACAGGATCAAAATTATGAGATAAGACTAGGATGTCATTAAGTACTGATCTAGCTTCCAAAGGAGAGGTCTCTAGTTTTGAACTTTGCAAATGATGTAGTAGGCCATTACAGTCTGTTTTTGTACATATGGATGCATTGCCTAGCATCCTTGCACAAGTCATTGCCTCTAAGCCTGCTGTTGCCTCTAACTTGAAAAGCTGACTTCTGTTTATACCCGGCTTAGTAACCACTGAGCTTAGCTCAGTGGCCACCAGGGAGGGACCTGAGTCCCTTCTTGGGCTGTAGATGAGGGTTCAAACCTCTCCTGCAGCAAAAAAAATCTAAGGGTAGTGCCATAGCACTCTCTTGGTTTAGTTGGGTCTGTATATCTACTAGTCATAACACACAAGCCTCCTTGGGCTCCCCCTCCCTCTAGATTAGGATAGAATAGGTTATACAATGTATCGCTGCTGGCAAAAAGAAAAAAAGTTTATACCCGCTTAGCTACTTTGCCACCTGGTTTCTGTATTATGAACCTGATCACACCCTTTCTGGTTGCTTTAACAAAGGATCCATCCACTAATGCACTGACATCACATTGCTTTTCAGCTCTCAGATCATGTTCATACATAAGAATTAAATTGCCAATTGACACCTTGCTTGATCTAATTCCAGTTGAAAGCTGATTCTCCAGCAGATTGCAATTAAATTACTAGTATTAGGCTTTAGCCGGCCATAACTAAGTAAATTTGGGAAGGGCAGATTGCTAGTGGTTGCTCCAATGACGGAGTCAAAGCCCAGCCTATTTTTTGGGAAAGGTGGGTTTAAACTAAAATGAGAAAGTTTGTTAGCCTTGATTTCGCTGGATAGTCTCATACAATTATCATCCTTGGTGCCTTTAATGTTGTATTTTTCTTCACTGAAACACTTGAAAAGTTCTTTAATTTTGTATTTCTCTTCACCGAGGGCTTCAAAAGTCATTTGAACTTTTGCTTTTTATCCTGCATGGAACGTTCCAAGAGCTCTATGTGAAGACATGTACTCCTAATTGGTTTTCCAATGCATTTCAAACTTTAATATCCAGTTTAGTGAACTACTTATCAATCAAATAAAGACAAGGCATTGAAAAGATTAAGTAAGCACAGTTTTTTCTCTCTATAATGGGTGTTCGCTATATCTCCCTCACATGATGTATATCAATTTCTAACAAAGAATGTATGTTAAACATCTCATATCTTAGCAAATTCATCTGTGTCCTTTACATCACGAGGTCCTTTTTGGTCCTTTCCATGATAGACAAATTCTGAAGTAGATGCCTAAAAAAGAAGGAAAAAATAAAGAACTATATAGATACTAACAGTAGTTTGTCCTCTTGATTAGGGCATCAAATGAATCAAGCCATTCGCGAGAGCCCGTGAATTGGCTCGGTTAAAGTTTGACTCGAATTCGATCGACATTGAACCCAAAGTGTCCAAGTCGAGATCGAGCACAAAAAAAACTTAACTTGTTAGTTCGCGAGCAACTCGATTACACACACACGTATTTATTTTAATAGTAAAATTACACACACATATATATATATATATCCATAAAATTTTATTATTTATTAAGGAAAATTTACTATTTTATTCATTTTAAAATAAAATAATTATTTTTTTAAGCTCCAGTAGGCTCGAGCTCGAGTTCGACTCGGCTCAAATTTGAGGTGGAGCTTGAATTCGAATTTGGTAAAATTGAGTCGAGACTCGACTCAATTATTGACTCAATTAGATCAAAGTTCGATTCGACTTAACTCGTTTGCAGCACTACTCTTGGTGCTTGGATAATTGAAAAAGGAAAGAGAACCATCATACTTTACTAGTATGATCTCGAATTTTTCTGTTTGTGAGATACTTAGCCATGACTCATGCAGGAGGAATGAGGAACAGTTTATTTGTGTCAGTTGTTGAAGCAGCAAGTGCATTTCCAAGCTATCCGGACGCTACGGCTGCACAAAATGATGGGTCACATTAATAATGTTCGCAGGACATTGCATTTCTGAAATTTTCGTTTACTTCAATCAAGAGCATGACCATGACTTTGTTGTTGTTGTTCACAGAGTAAATTTGGCAATTCACAATTGGATAAAAATGTTTCTGAGAAATTTCGATGGCATTTTTAATTTTTTAGGAGCTCTAAGGGGCTTTTACAAAAATGACACAAACAGTACTTTTTGAGAAGCAAAGCATTTGTATGTAAAAAGATGGTTAAAAAATAAAAAAAATAAATAATTGGACACCGTGTCAAGGTCTAAAATTTTTTCTGCTTCAAAAAAAAGGTCTAATTTTTTTTCTTAAAATGTATCTGTCCAAGCAAGATATTTATGCCATGTGTATTTAAAGTTTTAAACTTGACTTGAGCATCCGGTTACAAATCCAATCAAATATTGTCATTAGTTGCTTGAGGACAACTACATAGCTTCTCAACAAAAATTTCAGCCATAAATTTGGTCTTAATTTCCAACTCGTAACTTGGCCTATAAATTTCAGCCAGAACCACATGAAATCCCACGCCCTCTACTTTGTATGCTCCATCTCCTAGTTTTGAAACTTCCAATGGCTCAAACAGCAACAGCAATAGATTTAGACTCATTTGATGTCAAAGCACTAACCATAGATGAAGGTTATGGAGTCAAAGGTTTGTCAGACATGAATCTCAAAACTCTACCAAAACAATTCATTCAACCACCTGAAGAACGGTTCACTGAGCACACCTTAATCTTGGAAGAATCCATACCTGTGATTGATATTTCAAATTGGAACGATCCTAAGGTTGCAGATATAGTTTGTGATGCGGCAGAGAAATGGGGATTCTTTCAAATTATCAATCTTGGGATCCCTGCTGAAATACTTCAAAGTGTGATGGATGCAACTCATAGATTCTTTGAGTTGCCACCAAAGGAGAAGATGAAGTACAACAAAAAGAACTCTCCGACCACGAATGTCTTTCTCAGAACAAGCTTTGTTCCGGAAATAGAGACTGCTATGGAGTGGCACGACAAACTTACCTTTCTCTATGTTTCGGACGAAGAGGCTCAATCTTTTTGGCCTCCAATCTGCAGGTAGTTACCAAAAATAGAATATAAGCACAGAGCAATATTCTTGGCCTGTCATACAATGCAATTTTTCATACGACCTGAAACCGTCAAGTCATGTTGCTGATTCTTGATCGACCCTAAATGCGAATTCAATTTTCATTTGCCAGGATCATTTTTTGCTTTCATTACCCTGCCTCAAGCTGTCTCAAAACCTTGACCTTAAATCCTATTCATTTTAATTCTTCTGTTTCAACAACTAAATTTCTAAAAGAGTTTTCAAACACATTTTGCAATCACATGCTTGGCACTAGGCTATTATTGACCTGATAAATCTCATAAAATATGTGCGTTTGCTTGATTTCAGGAATCAAGTACTTGACTACATAAAGCCATGTGAATTACTTGCCAAGAGACTTCTCGGAATGCTAATGAAGCGATTGAACGTCACAGAGATTGACAAAAGTAAAGAATCAATGCTTATGGGTTCAAAAAAAGTTAACTTAAATTACTACCCCAAATGTCCCGAACCTGAGCTTACTATTGGCATAGGATGCCATTCGGATTTATCAACGATTAGTATCCTTCCTCAGGATGTCATTGGAGGGCTTTATGTTCGAAAACTAGAAAATGATTCTTGGATATATGTCTCTCCAATTGATGGAGCTCTAGTGATAAACATTGGCGACGCATTAGAAATTATCAGCAATGGAAGATATAGGAGCATCGAACATTGCGTTACTGTTAACAAACATCATAATAGGATTTCAGCACCATTTTTTGCAGGCCCAGAACCTTCTGCAATAATTGGTCCCCTTGAAGAAGTGCTTGAGAGTAGTGGAGAAAAACCACTTTATAAAAAAGTTCTCTACTCAGATTATGCAGCTCATTTCTTCACAAAAGCTCATGGTGGAAAGGACAAGATACAATTTGCAATAATATGAAATTCTGGAATTCAATGTTGTTGACACATGTCGTAGTATTCTATTAGCTCGAGGGCATTATATATTGCATTGGATGCATGTTGTCAGGAACTCAAATTCGTCTATTCCCTTTGATTCTGTAAAACATAAGCTATGTACTACATGAAATAACGAGACACTTGGAACTTGATGTGCTATGTACTACTTCAAAACCCCTTTGGCAACACTCAATCTTGGAGAAAAACAGCAGCTGACAAGGCGTTTAGGCTCAATTCTGCAAGACCCTCCATGTCCTTCATTCACAGCAAAATCAATAACATCCCCTGAGTTGGATGCAATTGACATTGCTGGAGCCATTATTTCTTAGAGCTTAGTAGTATTTGGAAACAAATAATTGAAGTTGAACAGTGAGAGACAACTGACTTCATAAGAGAGTTAACTTGGTGGTTTTGTGCATGTCCAGCAAAGGGTATTTTATAGTATTCAGGACTTGAATTTCTGAAAGTATACAAATCAACTGTCCTAATTATTTATTTAATAGTCCTCAAGCACCTATGCAACTTTGGACAAGTCTTAAGCAAAATCCACTTTAGAGCAAAAAAATATTAGTAATTCCATTTAGTCGCACCTCTGTAAAAGGAACAAAAAATTTCCCTCAACAACTCATGTAGCCTTAGCAACTCCACATTTGTATAATGGCATAAAAAGGAAGCACAGAGGGAAGATTCCTCTTACTTTCCTGGACACTAATTACTAAACTTCATGTCTAATCTTCTGGCTTTTTAGGTTTCATGTTCAGCATTTGTATGTGCGGATCAAAAAGAAGGGAAATTAGTTAATATGTCATATGTGATAAAATATAAGCATTTGTAACATCTTGGATTATCACGTGGACCAAAAGAAAAGATCACTAGTTCTTATATGTGAGTGGAATTCTTTTTGCATTTTAATTGTTCACTATAATTTTGGTGAAGTTAAGAAATTTTAACCATGATCACACCTAATTTTTTGGTAATGTTTGGAAAAGTCGGTTGTTAAGGACTAATCTTTTTTTTTGAGAAAAACCTACTTTTAGATTGAATCCACACAAAAGGAATTAATGATATTAAATTCGCGGTAGAAGGCGCAAATTAAGAAAATAGGTTTAACTTTTTTCTTGGTTAACTCACCTATATATGAGTGTGACTAGATGTTAATTTGTCAACTTCTTTTGCACTTGAAAATTCTACACTGCAGCCTCTTAAATCCCACAGCAAACCATGAGGAGTTACTCTAGTTTTGCAACTACGATTGTTCTTCTCTTCATCATAGTCGGTAAAGAATCTCATTACTTCTTTTTTATTTTTAAATGTCTTTTTTGCTGTTCTTCATGAATAATACGAGGAAGATACTATTTTGATTCAAACTATGCCAATTGATTAGATTACAGTGTAGAATCATAGAAGACACAATAGACACTTTTTCATATTATGATTTTTACTGTACATCAATTGTCAAGGCATGTGCATGTTCAACGACTACAAAGGAGTAATACAATATGTGAACTCAATAATTTGAAGTTTGTCAAACCTTGCGTGTTGTTTCAATTAGAGCTTAAATTAAATTCCATAAAATCTTTCTCCAGTAGTTTCCTCTTCTCTGATTTCTGTAGAATTATTCCATTGTAAGGAGACTATTCAAAGAATAAATAAGAAGACTGGGTATTTCAATAGGTCAGATCTTATCCAAATTAAATCCAGATCCTATATAATTGGATAGAATTTGGATTTAATTTTTTAAATCAAAATTCTACCCAGATCTAGACCCGATAAAAGAGTCAGGGATTTGCGTAGGATTTGGTTTTCTATGAATCATACCCAAACTCACATTCAAATCAGACCCTATTCAGACCCATGTATACATAAATAATAATGTGTGTATACATACATGCACCTGGATTGGATTTCTTTTGATTCAAATCTAAAGACCGTAAATTGGGTCTTTTTTATTTTGGAACCTTTTTGTTTTTTGGTGACAATTTGTTTGGCATACTATGAATGAACTCAATACAGGTGGAACCAATGATATGGTCATTAATCATAGTAATATAGACAGTCCCTTTTTTGATTACTAGGGGCTTTGGAATTGGAGGGCAGAAGGGGCCTTGGGGATTATGCCAACAGAATAAAAGGTTCTTATGGAGATTTGGACTGCCACTTTTTTATTTTAATTTTTTTTGCAAGAAATAGTTCACAGGTGAAATTTGAGAAGTGAAAAAAGAGGATGAAAAATGAAAAGCTAAAACCTCTAATTCATAAAATTTCAAACTTAAATTTGGACTGTCACTTGTATTGAGTTATAACTGAATTTTGAAAGCAGACTGGTAATATATATCTTGTAGTAAGCGTGACTACACGGTCCACGCGTTCTATGCAATGGATCTCAAGTACTTCTTTGAACCAAAAAAAAAAAAAAAAAGAAAATATAAAAACAAGAATCACATATTTGTTGTATCTGGACCAACTTGCATAAAAGGTTTGTGTCCTATGTAGAAATTTTTGCGATGGTGAAAGAGAACTCAAGCGCAATTGATTTGTATCCATAAATGCTCAATTTTGAGGAAGTTTACCAAGTCAAATTTTGCTTGGGTTGGATTTCCAGACGCGAAAGGATCGATTTTATGGTCTTTCCATATCAAGTAAGTTAATTATCAGTATCACCATCTAATTTCGGTCCTGAGCTATAATTTCAAAGCTAAACCAGAAAAAGAATTGCTTAGTCATTGCAGTACATTTTACTTTAGTTGACTAAAATTTCTTTGGAACATTCCTTATTAATACGTCTTTTAACACATTCTTTAGATAAGCTCTTCAATTATTTCTTAATTGTCTGTCTATTTATGGCCTTGTTCTCGGTTATTTTAGATTTTACAAAATTTGAATATAGATTTTAATTGATTATAGAAAATAATAAGAATGAGGAAAAACTATTCTCCAAGTGATTATAGATTTTAAATTTTCTTTGTCATTAAAAAATCTATAATCAAAATATAAAATCAACCATGAACATCACAAAAACTGACTGTCTAAAATCAAAATTTATAATCAGTTAAAATAATCAATCGAGAGCAAACCCTATGTAAATTAGATTCCAAAAGGCATTATGGTTTATTATTTAAATCCAAACCATATGTTTCATGTCAAATTGAAGAAATCCTTACAGAATGATGCTATAGATGTAATCGTCTTAATAGATATCGTTGGCATTTTCCAGCTAAATAAACTTAATAGGGATCATTGCTAGGGTCTAAATTAACTGATCTTTCCAACAATTTTTTTTTCTCAATTTTCAAGTGATGGGTCATATTTAAGATATTTCCTGCAGTCCTATAATTTCTGGCAATACAATTAGCCGTGGCATGGGTATGCTTCATAACAATTAACCGTCGCAACAGATCCCAATAACTGCTATTTAATTGTACCAACACAATCAGTGCTATTTAATATTAACTATTGGATCTCATGGAACTAAAAAAGTTTTAGTTAATAATACTTTGCATTATTTTCTCCTCAATTGTTTTTTTTTTTTTTATAGAAAACTGAAAATTTTATTAAGTTGAAGATAGATCCATAGCAATTACAGCAAAAAGAAAAGATGGTGAAGAAAATCTCCAAATACAAATATGTGAAATAGAACATTTTTAGTTAATAAATGAGTAGTCACATTTAGATTTCTAAGAACCCAATTGACCTCCCAAGCGACGGAATTCTATAGACTAACAAAAAATATCATCTAGCAGCGCTTCATAGGCTGGATCATCAGTTTTGCAGTGCTATTTTTCAGTTTCCATCGGACGATCAAAATTTGTAAGCAGTCCTCACAGTGTATACTACTTCACAAGGACATAAATTTTTGTCTCCATTTGTTAAGACTCTCCCTAGAGATTCGACAAACGACATTGCCATAGCCTAAATTTTAATATCTACAGCAATTTTGATTGCATTGACTTGTCCTAAAAATTTGCATTTCTATTCTCTCAAAGTTTAACTGCCTAGATTAAACATCTAGGGAAAGATTATTACACAATTACCCCTCATTGGATAAATGAGAATGCTCAGAATAGAAAGGCCTTTTCACCCTAAAATATATTTCCGCCCACAATGGCAGAGAAAGAAATTTGTTGTTCCAGAGTTTGATGAATAAGTTAGAATGGAATGTTTACTCGATTTTCAATGCTTGGTATAATTAATATTTAGATGCCAAAATAGAATATATTAAATACAAATTTGATTTAATTGCTATGAATTAATTTATAGGACGTAATATGTCTTATGACTTTGTGTTTTATCTATTCTATAGTATTTGTCTATTTAAGTGAAATCTTGATATTTTTACTTCAAAAATAAATGAGAATTGATATCAAAATTCTTCAATTGTAAGACTTGATTCATTCTAAAATATAAATTTTTAAGTTAAAATTTTGCATTTACTAGCAATATAATTAGCAACATAAAATATGAATTACATGAAGTCAAACAATTATAATTTGTATTTAATCTATTTTCAAGTTTGATAATATTCAAAAAAAATTTTGCACAATTGTTGAAAAGTCAAAGAATAAAGTATCTTAAAACATTTGTTTCCTAGTATAAAAGAAAAAATTATTTTAAATAAAAGGAAAATTAATTATTATGAAAAATTACATTCAAATATTATTTCAGCTTACAAATTATTTAAGATATCAAGATGCAGTATAAAGATTTATAAGGATAAGTTTGACATCCTACTATTTTGGCATTCTAACGCGTAACATTCATTGGTTGATTTTCTAATGGTTGTCAATTGCATCCAGCTGTAAAAGAAGCTTGAAAGCCATAAGAAAAATGAAATTCCCCCAGGTCACTTTCGATTCTCATTTTTCCTTCCTGCAATAATTACAAACGCGTTATTACGGTCAACATTAATACAGCAACAAAATCTAGAGTCCCTTTTTGTTTAAGAATTTTTTTTATGGGCACTTGTTAGTTATTAGTTACTTCATT